AACTTTGACGCACTCTTTCACGCCCTGATTTCATCTATCTACTAGGCTCTGTTGAAGATTGCCAATGTTGCTTCTCTGAAGTATGACCAAAGGTTGGACTTCGAGTCTTAAAATTTTTAAGGACAAACTTTTAAAAATGATTTGACCAATTCCACCACGTGTTGGATTGTCCATTTTTTGTTCACCTCGCATATGGTTCATGGCGATTGCTGCTGGTAACAGGCGGTAGACATCTGTTGAATAGAAACATGACTTCATGTTCATGTGATGATTATGTAACAGCTACACCAATGGCCAAGGCACGTCCAACGTGGGAGAGAGAACAGACGGCGGTGATCGGGCTGCCAAATTGCAAAACTTGCCCCAGTATTCGTTTTTTTGTGAATATCAAGTTTCAGTAAATATGGATTGCGGAGAGAATTACTTTCGAAAACGTACCAGCAAAGGGGTTCTGTTTTTCTCTTGGGTTGCAGATCCTCATAGAGAAAACGGCACGTGCTCTACTGTTTAGAAGACAGGTGTAAACACAAAATACCCTGAGACATCTCCGCGCCCCAGACCATAATGTTTACTTTCGAAGACGTATCACTACGGTGATAAAAACGTTTTTGGCCTAAAGTAATTTCTCCAAAACCATTTGTTTCACACTGTGTCTTCTATGAGTCCGCTGAGTTTGGGTTGATCAGTCCAAGTAAGGTCAAAAATGCTAATGTGACCGAGCTTTCCGAGGCTCGATGGTATCTGACGGACTTTCGTGTTGATTACTTGGCGAATATTAGGTTTTACGCGGGGACGGACGTCTACTGAGGCTAACTGACTATCCAGTAGCTATCACTGGGTAGTGCGATAAGGATGGAAGCACTTGCGCTTTGGATTTTTGGATTCAATCAAATCTACGCTCTGAAAATATAACATGCATTCAGGTAGTTTATTTAGCTTATCACAAAATGCTGGAGGAAGTACACTGCGTTTGCACTGATTCGAACAGTACCCAAAGCAAAATTTTTGCAGTGCTACTGATAAACCCAAAAGCGCACAAATATCTTCTAAGGTGGAGACATTTATTCAAGTATTTTAATAGGAA